AAAAACGAAAAAAAACTGAAAAAAGAACCCAGCCGAGCTGGGAGTAACCAAGCGTTAAAAGTTTGTTGTCTTGCCATTGTTGTCGCCGAGGGGGGGATGGCAGCCTCGAAGGAAAATCCAAGCCAAGTCGGTTTCCGATCTCACCCCACCCCCGTCCCGGGTCGCTAGGAAGCTCGGTCGCCCCCCCACTAATTGGTGTCGGGTAGAGGGCCCAGTCCGGGCCTGGCTGGGGTTTCAGGACATTCGAGTCCTGCTAATTGGCCTCGCATTTGCGATTCTGCGAGAGCGCAGCAAGTGCAGAAGGGTTGTGCAGCTCAGCTCGATATCTGCAAATTTGAGAACCAATTAAAATACGAAACCAGCTCTAGCCGAGGACCACGACCAGGACCAGGACCAGTGCCACCACCCACCATCTCAAGCCGGGCCATCGATAGAAACCAGTTGATCCACTGCCAGCCAGGCTGGGCAATGAAATAATAATTATAATTATTATCGCATCAGAGAAATCTGCAGCATCCTTGGGCCACTGCCGCTGCCTCTGCCAGGTCTCTTGTTTACCTTTCCGCCGTGTGTCAATAAATGAGACCGCAATTAACCCGTCCTGCCCCGGTCACGATCTCGGTCGCAATCACGAGCATATTACACGGCTAATAGCCATATCGCTGTAGTATGCCAACTATGCGCTGATGTCGTTAAAATTTATTTATTTGAATACTCTCACTTGGCGGGCCAGTTGGCTGGCGACCCCCTTTCCTCCGCCCCTGGTCGGCATGGGCATTTTGTAATTTCCTGAGCGTTGCGTACGATTTTGATCGAATCGCTGACGGATGGGGCAGCCTGTGCCGAGGCTGTGACCAGTTTTGAAAGCTGCCAGTATTGTGAATGAAGTGCTGGAACTGGCTTTCAGCTGGGATCTCAAGCTGTGTGGCACCCGAAAGGAGAATGTACCGATCCGATCCGCAAATGCCAATGGCAAGAGGAAGCTGTAAAAGTTTATCAGAGTGGGCTTAAAGGGAAGTGCTATCCTGCCTAGAACTGACCATCTTTTGGCCATCTAACTCAAATGCTCCTCTCTGTTCATGGATTCACGTTTTGTGGGCCAATTCGGGGCTGTCATCGCTACCTGCCCCAGCGAATTATGTCAACTGCAATCAAGATTTCACAAGACGCACGTAAACACTCGAGCGTGTGTATATCTGTGAGATGGCTGGTATCTTTTGGCTGGCGTTAGATTGAGCTCTCTTCAAAATGCAAATGCGGTCAGTGGAGAAAAGATTGATAGCAAAGGGGTAGATGAGGCTGAGGTAAATGGGGAGGGCAGGTCGCTGGTGAGAAATTGAGAAACGAGCCCGTGCCTGGCTCCGCTCCGACTCTCGCTCAAGCCATGCATCATTGTTAATGGCAACTTGTTTGTTGTCGTCGCTGTTGCTGTTGCTGTTGCTATTGCTGTTGCTGTTGCTACTGCTACTGGGCTGTTCTCTATGTAGTACCAGCATCAGCGCTGATCAAACTTAATTCAAAGTTCCTGTTGCGCGCCAGTCGTGGTGCAAAAATTTCGACACAGGGAGTCAAGGAAGCACCATGTTGCTGTTGCTGTTGCTGCTGCTGCTGCTGGAGGGTCTGACGATGTTGCTGCAATATGCGTGCGATTAAGATGCGAGCTCTGGTGTAGCTGCTTAGTTACATTGTATTATGTGCCATAATTTAATTGACATTGCCCGCGTAAATCAGGCAATCACTGATATACGATGTGTTGCTGCTGATGTTGCTGTTGCTGTTGCTGTTGCTACAAGTACTAGTACTACTAGTGTTGTTGCTGGTGACCGCAACATAAACGAACGTGAGCTGAGGCTAGGCTGAGGCTGCTGAGCATTTAAATGCGGTCAGCCAGTTTTTCATTTTTTCTCGCTTAGCCGTTGATACTAACTAGACACTTGTATTATTTAAATCAAGTTGTGCTAGTTTTTTCTTAATACAATAAAAAACGCGCAAATTTTTTGTCCGCCGCTGCCTGCCATTTGATGTGGAAATTAATTTTAGTTTTTTGTTACAAGTATTTTAAGTTTGGCCTGAAATTCCAGTGAAATATCATTTTGGGTTTCTCTGCGCGAGCCATGCCGCAGAGTCCATGACCTTTGGAGCGATACCGGAGCGTTCGCCACGTATCCAGTTAGGGGTGGAGCAGACTTATCTCTACAGATACAGCTACAGCTCCAGAGAGCAGCCCTGCCACAAAGGCGAAGGTGTGCACCGTGGGCGATGCGTCTGCGTCTGCGTCTCTGTCTGCATTTGCGTCGTCATCGGAGCAGCAGCTTTTGCTGCCACAAAGATTTGCGATGCCACAACGGCAGAAAGAGCAGCAGCAGCTCACAGCACACTCATAAAGCAGGCGTTGTTGATTTTTAAAGACAGGCCATGCCAAAAGTGGCACGTCCAAGGAAAAATGTTGGCACAGTCTCTACTCGGCCACCGATGCTCGGCCAACTAGGGATGGAAGGAGTCTGATACCAACATTTTTCGCAGAGCTCCCACAAGCGCCGTTTTGGCAGTTCGTCTGCCAAATCCTTTGTTTTCAGCCAGCGTGGCCTCCTACAAATATTTCGAGGCTTTCGCGTTGCGCCCTCCTTAAGGGACCCATACCCATACCCATACCCAGAGCCATAGCCAGACCCAAACCCAGACCAGACCAGGGCAGAGGCAGAGGAACCAGATCAAAATGTGCCGATATGAGCTCATAAACACGCAGTTTAAAAGTATTTTTTATTATTTTATTTCATTTTACCTTCTTGGTGGGTTTTGAGGGGCTCTTTGTTTTATTTCTGTTGGATGTGAAGGCTCCACTAGCCGCTATCCACTGGCTCGATGAAAGCTCATACACTCATGCCCGACACTGTCAGAGTCTGCAGTCGGGTGGGGGCCTTGAAAAGTTTCGGCAATCCGTTCGAGCGTTCTATGTAATTATTCAATTAGCAGGGGTGCCAAAAACGGTCGGGAGATACGACGAGTAGCCAGCCGGGGCACAGTAGCCAGCCGGGACTTGCTCTAATTGAAACTTGATTGTTTTCCGAAATGCTTCCCGAATGGAGAATGGGTTTCTGTCTCAGTTTCTGGCCGAGAAGTCAGTGCCTCATTAGCAGTCACCGGATGCACTTTCAAATCGCCGAACAGCAAGTGGCCGAGTGAAAGATGCAACTAGCTGGCAGCAACAGCAGCAGCAACTAGCAACGTGCAACTTGCAACCGGTTTCTGTTGCAGCGACTGAAAAATCATAATAAAATTACCATAATTATAAAAAAAAAGCTGTAAAGCAGCCAGCAGTGTGCCTCCGCTTCTACTTGCGGTAATATTTTTGCGTACTATTCGGGTAATTTTATACGAGTGGCCGCGAAGACCTGCTTCTGCCGCCATGTGGCAGCGGCGGGTCGGCAGGTGTTAGAACAAGTTGCTGTCAGGCAAAGCTCAGGCGAAACTCTCAGGCCCAAGACAGAGAAACCGAATTGTATAACACGCCCCACAAAACCGCCGGCCGAAGGCCATTAAGCTGCCGCCAGTTTAGTTCTAGTGTTTGTGTAACGCATAAATCTTAGGGCCTGAGCACAATGGTTTGTTTGCACGGCTCAAACATTGGCGTGTTCTAGTCCAGGTCCTGCTCCTGGCCGTAGTCTTGGCCCCAGACCCGGCCCTGGTCGAATCAATAAAAAACTTCCGTTGCCCAAACGGTGAGGGCGGTTTTAATTAACACTGCTGGCCACTGCTAACGGAAAGCGAAAGCGGCCAAGAGCAGCTCCTGCCAGCCCTGCCAGCCCTACCTCCATCCCCCCTACTTCCAGGGGGCACTCATAAATTCATGCTTTCGGCCAACTGCTTAACCCCTTAAAGCCATTGCCGGCGGCAGAGATAGACCATTTCGATTGTGTCCCCGGCAGGGCAGGGGGCGTGGCTATTTGCTTAGCCGAGTCGATTGACAGCTGCCAGGGAATCACAGAGCCAGCCGGGAGGGTGACTGCGGCAATGTTTCGGGGGCTTGCAACAGAATTTATTGCACAGCCGCCGTGTGGCACGCCCGTCCTAGACGGCCGCCCCAACCTTTCGGATATTCAAATATGTACGAGTATCTTGATAAACAACTCGCGGCTGGAGCAACACCCACGCCGGAGCAGAGGGTCTTCGACTTGTTTTACAACTTTTATTCGCAACAACATTATTGTGGTTCTCCCTCTCTCACTTGCGGTCATAAGACTGTGGCTCTGTTTCTGTTACTGTTTCTCTGGCCACAGAGCACATGAACTTTGTGGCACACTAATTCAATTAGGAAGCCCACGCCCACTATCAATAAATTTCTCAAAACACGAGACTCATTCACAGCTCTTCTGGTGCTCATCTGGAAAACTATCAAGTGGAGCTCTGGAAACTAGAATAGCTAGACATACGGGTATTGTGAGTGAGACTACGGCTGGGGCTGCGACTGGGGCTGGGGTGGGTGTTGCCAGTGACAATGCTCTGCCCTCGCAAGTAACCCCGACCCCAGACCCCGCTCCTACCCGTGGGCAGCAGCGCGTGCATTAGCGAAAAGACAACAACGACAACAAAAAATAGCAACTGAAAACTTTTTCACAAAATTGACATTGACACACGTGGAGGAGCAACAAAAAACGAGAAAAGAATATTTCAATATTACACATACGCCCGTGTGGCGTGTTCTCTGGAGTGGTGTGCTGCTATAAGGTGTTTGGGTGTGTGTGCCTGTGTCAGTGTCAGAGGCGTAGGAGGTTGCCATTGTTACATTGTCTTTGCTCGTTTGTCAGTCAACATTAGAGACATGTCAACAATTCACTTTGGAAAATGCTAACTAACCACGGGTGCAGCCTGCAAATGGCCACAAGGATGGCACAGGAGCAGCAACCCTCCTTATAATAGTTTCCCCCCCTTAAAGCTAGACTCTCAAAGGGTTAGAGTTTAGACTCTGATATCATTATTTAAGACTATAAGATGAGACTTACCTGCGTCTGCGTGAGGCCCAGACTCGCCGCCAGCTCCGCCCGCTCGGGCAGGGCCAGGTATTGGGTGCGCTGGAAGCGGCGGTTGAGCTGCTGGAGCTGCAGCGAGCTGTAGATGGTGCGGGGCTTGCGCATCTTCTTGCCCTTGCCGTTGACTCGGAGGCCGGAGTCCTCGCACTTGTCCGAGATTGAAAAGTCTGAGGAGGAGGCGAAAAAAATCAGTGAGTTGGGAGTCGAGACTGTAAATGGCAAGCCATTGCATCGCTGCAACGATGAATTTATAATTAGGTAGCGAAATTATGGCCAGACTGGAGCGCAGATCTGGGCCGGGGTGAACACTTAACCCTTTTTTTGGTGTTGCATATTTATGAGGACATTCCCGCGGCAGCTGGAATGCATGAAACTGTTACATTTATGGACCTGCATTAATTCCAGCCGCATCGCATAGAAATCGGACTGGTCTTGTGATCTGTTCTGTTCTGGTGTTCTGTTCCGTTTCGATCCAATATCGATTCGTTAAGTAATCGAGTAATCGAGTAAGTAACTTGTAAATGTCAGCGAATTAGCGCTAATTGCCGAGTTGGGAGCGAAAGTTCAAAGCACTCCCCAACTGGCCAACTCTACACACACATATCATCGTCGACACTTCATAAAATCCATCAAGTTCAATGAGCGACGACTGCAGCTAATCGTTAAAAAATAACACACGGAGCCCACCGAAAAAAAAAAAAACTATTATTAAACACCAAATAGGGAGCTCTGCCGCCGTATCCGTATCTCTGAACATATCTGTATCTACAGCCGCGTTTGTCACCGAATATATTTGGAGCCCGAGCGGGCAGCACGTGCTGCACACTCTTAATGCCAAAATGGCAGTCGGAGCCTCTATTAGTCAGCCAGTCCGGCTCCTGGCTCTCCAAAGAGTGCACAATTAACTCCGCCGAGCCAAGGCGTAATTACAGCAATTATATTTACACACAACTGGGGCTGGGACTGGGTCTGGGCTTGGGACTGGGACTGGGACTTCCTTTCTAATCATCAGCTGTTTTGCGAATCTTTAGGACACTTGATGGGTGCTCTCAGCCAAGGTTGCGAGTGAGTGACGAAAGTCAGAGACAATCACCAAAAAAGATACATACATCTGTAGGTAGTGTGTCTCTACAGATACGACAATGGATGGAAAATGAATTGCTTTCCACTCTCGGGAAACCGAAACTGCTCAACCAAAACGCATCAAATAGCAAAACAAAGTTGTTCAACAAAATACGAGAGACGGCTCCAACAAAATGTCACAGTCAAGCGCGCAATTATGCCAGAGACTGGGAAAAAATTACCGAAAAAAATTGAAAAAAAAAAACACAGAACACACAAAAAAAGATACAAAAATAAATAAAATGGGAAAATTGCGCATACGTGGATAAGGCAAAAAAAAGCGTTTCAGACTCGTTAGAGGTATTCATTCGAACAAAAATAAAGCCTGACGCTGGAAAAAAGTATGAATGGAAAGTATTTCCAATCTTTAATGTCCTTAGGTATCTTGTAGAACAGCTATGGGAGTTAAAGAGTATCTGAAAATCTAAAAAACAAGGTTATGTTTTCTAAAACCTAATTGAGACAAGTCGAACTTGAAGTCGACGAGCAAACAAAACCCCAGAAACCCCAGAGACCCCAAAGACGACTACAATGGCTCTTGAAACGCGTTGAGCTCTCGAGTTGGAGTGTCGCCAAAAAATAGACAAGGAAGCTGGCGAAGATCTCCAAAAAGACCAGCCAGAGACCTGCCAACTAAAGAGCCATTCGGGCCTCGGACCTCAGGCCTCCGCCAAGTGCGCAGGTCTTCAAAGTCAATCTACGTAATCTGGGATAACTTACCATCCTTGGGCGGACTGGCGCAGGGCGGGGCATAGCTGCCGAGGTGATAGCCGGAGTAAGAGTTCTGGTGCATGGGCGGGAACGGGTAGCCGAGGGCGCTGCGCGGACTCGGGAAGCCAGAGTCCTGGCCGCCCTGCGGCCCGAAATGCTGATAGGTGCTCCGAATGCCGCCGTACCTGAAAGCCAGAGAAGAATGCAAGGAAAATAATCAATACGGGCTGTGTAAAAATAGAGTATGTACACTATACTCTGAACAGTGTACAGTGTACAGGATATGAATGAATCGTGCACAGGGAGACAGGGCCTGTGCCGCGCGCCTCCTTGCGTGTTCAGTCTACACTTTTCACTATTAAATTCAAGCCAGAAATAAAGGAAAAAGTGAACCCAAAAAATTTCATGTTTAATGCAAAAAGCGTCGAAACGAAAACTTTTTTTCTCACAACAAGAATTAGGCTACACAGGAGAGGCTCACAAAACTTTTGCCATGACTTCATTTACAGAAACCAGAACCAAACTAACCCAGAGTCCCCGGACTAGATGCGGTCTAATATATCAACAAAAAATCAATAGAAATGTCAGAGTTCCTGTTTAGTTCTGCCAGCCATTGCTGTCGTATCGCTCAGAGTTCCCCGTTTTGTGGTAAATATTTTGTTAACACTTTGCCGGCGAAACAGTCAGAACAGTTGAGCCCGTTCCCATGCATTATGTTCCGGGCTCCTATCGACGAACTGCATGAAATATTCAATGCTCTTTTGGCCCGAACACGGAAACGGAAGCCGGCTGGAAACGCAGCAAAAACCGCAACGGTCAACGGACAGTTGGGCTCCCGCAACATGGCAGCCCGAACAGAGACAACTCCTGAGGGCTTTCATAGTCGGAGTCGGATCAGCCAAGCATTCCATTCCAGACTCAGGAACCCAAACACGCACAAATGTCAGGGGCCCGAGAAACCGCAAAACCCGAGAATGCAATAAAATATGTATAATGAAAAATCGAATCGTGCGTTGGAAAAACAATTTGCGGAACTCAAAGAGAGAACTTGAACAGTTTGCCAGAGGAGGAGTGGTTCTATGTACGTAGTGGCTTCTACCCCCGTGGACTGAACTGGTTTCATCGAAATAGGGGGACCCCTCTTGGGGGAGCAGCGCTTTATTTAGCACACAGACCGGCAGATTAAGCTAAACTTAATTGAATTTATTTTTGGCTTCCGCTGCCAGCTCTGCCACCAGCATAATCTGGAGCCGGGAAATGCAACCGAAGTGATTTTCTTAATCAAAACTAATATTATTTCGAGGGAGCTGCTGTGGAATCCCCGAGCAACTCCCCTAGCTCTTGAAAAACCTGCAAGGCTTGATGAAGCTTAATAAGTTTTGTAGAATCACATACGATTAAGTAACAAAGGAATTAAGCAGTAGGGTTATAGGGATCTCTATTCTTTCTTGAATATTTTAAAGAATTCAATATTCCATATTTAAAAGATTGGCTAAGGTATTAGATTCGTTAGGCCGTAATAGACTCATACTATCAGTTCCTATCTTCTCCAGTTTGTACCCAAACAATACTGAAATCTTCTAGAGTTCAAAAAGATATCTTCAAATATTGTATCTAATAGTGGAGTACCTAGGCAGCCTAATATATCTCTATATATGTACATATGCTGTCTTTTGGAACCAAAGCAGTTCCTGCTCTGAATTCAAAGGAGACCTCCAAGTGCCCTGGTTTCCCTTCGGGTGTGGCACTAAATTTGCAATTAGATCGAACTATGGAATAATATCGAACTATAACTGAGGCGAATGGAAGTCTTGGTTTCTGGGTGCACTTTTTCACTTATTCCCCGGTCCTGGCAGACTTGGTACTCCCCCAGATTCAATCCGGAGACACTCACCCGGCGGCGGCGTGCTGCTGGAGCTCGACAAAGGCGGACTTTCCGGGAATATTGACGCCGGGCGTGACACTTGCCGCCGTATTCCCGCCGTCCATGTACTTGGGCGTGTGGGGGGCGTCCGGTGCGTCCATACCCGACTGGGGGGTGCTGGGAGGCCCCTCGTAGGGGCTCCCTAGATCCGTGAAATTGAGCGTGTTGGCGCCTATTGAGGCCACTTTATCGAGAATGTTGGCGGCTTTTTCTCGCGGGGACTGCAAGCGCGGAAACACAACTCCTGGCGGCCGGGATGTGGATGTGGATGTGGCTAGATCCTTAACTTGGGCAGCTGAACGCGTGTGTGGTGTGGGTGTTCTCTGATTTCAGTTTTAACTGCACATGAACAGTGTTTTGGATAATTTTGGGCAGATTTATATTTTTTTTTTGAACTGTTTTTGGGGCGTTCTGAGCGCGTAAATCCTTTTAGCTTTTTGGCTGGCGAGGCACTTTTCCGACACTTGTACTCGGCACTTTCTTAGCACTTCTCTCAGTGGCTTTCTCTGCAGCTTTCTTTTCTCACTTGGCTGTGCATATTTTGCCTTTCGACTCTTGTGCGATTCTTGAATCCAACTCAAAATCAAAACCAAACTCAACGCAAATCACAAGCGCGCCTCCCGACGGGTATATCCCAGCGTTCAGCTCGGATCGAAAAACGGAATCAAATCAAAGTCGGTCTTCGGATCGAAATCGAAATCGGAATCGTGATCGGTTAGCGGCGCTACAACGACGGAGTGGTTCTGCGACGGCGGCGGCTCAGCGGATCGGCAGGGCGACGACTGCCCACGAACAAAGTGCGTATACGACTAGGTGACTGGGTTTCGATTCCGCGGCGCGGTTGCGCGAGATTCCAGTTTCCAAGCCCGACTCGACGGCTCTGTCGCTTTGCCGCTCTGTGGCTGTAGTGTGCGAGCGGGATGGCCGCCGCCTGACCTCCCTTGGCCAGACCGGGACGGCAGCTGTTCCGGTGGCAGCCCGCTGCGGCTCTCGCCCGGCCTCGCCAATCGGGTGGTTTGCAACCGGTTTTCCTCCCTGTGTGTATGTGTTTCTCCGGTCTCGGGCACTCGGCTGTGCGGCTGTGTGCGTGAGGCTGGTGTTGAAACCGCACCAATACCATAAATTTGTGCCTCGGCAGGACGGGGGTCCACCCCCCCTTTGGGTTTTCTTGTCAACTTTTGTCTAGGTCTAGGGCCCACGATGGAGATTGAGGCGTGGCCTGTAGCCCCCGTTCCCCAGTCCCCAATTCCCCACGGGATTTTCGGTAGACTTACAGCATTTATATGCAAATATGGGAGGCAGGGTGGCTCTGGGGGCTGCCCGTGGAAAGTGCAAATATTTTGACGTTTTAAATAATGTTGATTAAATGCAAAAGGTCTCAATTATTAAATTGATTGTTGAACCTGTAATTTGTCTTCTGCTCGTTTTCGTTTTCGGCTTTTATTTTCGGCCTGCGCAATCAACAGTTGTGGCTAACAAATTAAGCTAATGATTTGTTTACATTCCCGCAATTGCGTCCAGAAGAGGTACAGAGGCGTGCAGGACTGCAGGCCAGCGAGGACGTGTTAAATAATTAACCTCGATTGCGAAAAGAAAAGGAATGATACTCAGGAATGGACCCAAGAATGGAAATTCAAGTCAGGTCTTCCGCATGGAGCTCCTTAAAGGCTCTAGTTTTGGGCCGACTGGCGCCATCTATCGGTCGCTCCGCTCACCCGCAAACCAGTCTAACGGACCGACCTGCTCACCTGTCAACCCACTCACACACGGGCTCTCGTTCTCGCACACATACACACACACACACTCACCTGCGCACCACAGAACGCCCCCCGCTGAGCTGTCTATCTCGTGCCACGCCTCCCGCAGGTAGCCAAGAGAGCCGCTGAGAGGACGAGAGCGGAAGAGCGCGCGCAGAATCGATTCAAAATGGCGGCCCTTCTGGCCCAGCCGGAACTGTAGCTTTGTGGCTCTGGCGAAGCGACAGTGGCCGTCGTGGCCGCTTCTCGGTGGCCGGGCGGCCGTCTCATTCACAAGACAAGTCATAGCTCGGAGCGCACAGCGGACTCGATGGAAAGACTAGCGACGGCCTGCCCGCCTGCTCCCACCTGCTGACCCGACGGTTGTCACCTGAGAAGGATTTCCGCCGCCATGCATATTCATGAGCCAGAGCGACGGCAATTAGCCAGACTTCGAGAGTGCCACAAAAAATATAAATACCAATAGAGTTTGCATTAAAAGTCGGGCAGGCCAGCATCAATCGATTAGCAAAAGGCGGGTCTGGATCTTGATCTGGATCTGATCCGCTTAAAATGTTAATCCCCAGGCCCGGGTGGAGCTCACCACGGCTCACAGCCGTTGCTGTTGTGACCCGGTCGGCAGCAGTGCACTAATTTAAAGGGAGCAGTTCGAGTGCACGTAATTGTTGCAATTACTTAATGAAATATTTATTAAATGCAAATTATGATTAGACTGCAACTGCGGCCGGCTACGGCCACTGTTCCTTTTCCCACTAAGTCGGCGGAGTGTGTGTTTGCGGCCGTGTCTGCGTGCGAGAGGCTCTCCGGGCCGCGATTAATTGGCCATAAATCAAAACCAAATTACCTCCCCACCAGACACGTGCAAATATGTCAAGCAAACACGTTTGCAAGTCAATCAGACGGCGAATTAATTCATCAAAGTGTCGCAGAAGTCCAGAGAGATGTGGGGCATCCCGATATTGTATCTTCTCGTATTTTAATATATTTTGGTATATATTACATTTTCCACATCGGTATTTGATTAAAAGCCCCTTCTGTAAGTGGGTTTGTGTGCTTACTCCCAAGTACACTCCAGTTAATAGCATTTATTAGCCAAATAGCCAGTTTCTCACCTTTACCTTTACCTTTTTCCACTATTGACCCAGTCTAATAGATCTGTGCCCCCAAATATGTGGCATCCATTAGGCTTTCTCATCGGAAGAAAGGTTACTTTTTTCGGTTCAATGTGATTATAAGTATTGGCGGCAATGAGGCCAAAACAAAGCTTCGAGCTTTGCCGCCTTGATATCTTATTCGGTTAGGAAATCACTTCGAATTCGGAAGCCAAATCGATTTTATTACCTTATAACATTAATTCCCAAATTAAAGACCAGCGCCAGGCATTTCGACAAATGAGACGATTAATTTTCCGAGAAGGGACCAGCGACGAGGAAACCCGAAAACCGGCAAAGAAAATCAACGGAAAATTCGAAAGGAGCAGCAAAAACGCCCACTTCTTCGGGGGCGGGGATTCAATAGTCTCTGGCTATTGAGGGGGAAAGCGCGGCACGGAAACACCCACGAAACCCAGGAACCCTGAAACAGCTAGCCGCAAAGTTCCCGGTCAAATACAATTTATCATTTAAATAATAATGTGCCACAAATGACGGGACGAGTGAACCCTTGTGCGAGCGGGAGGCCAATCAGTCAAGTAGTTGGCCAAAAAGGGATGCAGACTGGCCAAGACCGAGAGAGCGAGAGAGCTCCTGGGGGTTGCTACTACCGAGTTGGCTCAATGAAATGGAAACTGACTCCGGGCCGCGTTTGATGGCCTGCTCACTTGACCGGCTCTGCGGCCAAGGCGCTCAAATTACATTTTAATGAGTTGCCCTGGATGGGAGAGGGGCATCTAGGGGGAAAGGTCAGCCGCGGTACAATCTGGTTTTGTTTGTTGCGAAAATCAAACTCCAGCGGGCACACATTCGATGCGCCTTTGAACGCCATAAAGAAGTGCCGGGCCAGACTTTTATGAATCTGTTTATGATGTACGAGGAGGCTAATGGAAGCGCCACAGCAGGCTCCAAATTGGGTCAGGACCGCCTGCGGTTCCCCGGACCAGCATGGTGGAGCAGTGGCGGTTGCCGGGCGGCGGTGTGTATTGACATTCAATTCGAAATAAATCAGAGTTTACGACTCCAGACACGGGAACGACTTCATCGCAGAGCCGGCTTCGTTCAAAGATCGACGCCGGTGGCTGCGACTCGGTTCCACTCTCTCGGCTATGAGGGGCTTTCATCCTGGCGTTAATTGGCAGCACCGTCCGGGCTAGCGGCCAATAAATTTTTGAGGCACCACTGTTGATGTATTCATTGAACTCTAGGATTTGTGGTTTGGACCGAGAGCGCGACTCGTTTGGACCGGGTTTTGACTCCGCAGCTAGCACCAATTAGCCACCGAATCACAATGGCCGGAAACTGTTATCCTGAAGTGCAAATTAGTCATTGATTTTGGAGGCATTACTCTTACTTACTCACTAAATAAGATAAATTAATCAAAAATAAAGTCATTCGATCAGTCAGATGAAAAATGTATCAATAAAACAAAAGACTTAAGCAAAAAACTTGATCCTAAAAAATTAAAATATTATAATTTCTAATAAAGTTTATTTTTTTCAAAAATCCGAAAGTCCAAGCAGACTTTGTATTTTTGAATCATCCAAATTTCGAAAATTTCCCCTGGATATTGTACCCAAAAGAGGGGTTACCGAGAGATTGCGCCAAACTCCACGGCATTCATGACAAAACCTCATCGACTCGTGCAGATTCTATTGATTCTGCTCCTTGTTTTTCTGCAAGTTGGTAGAAATGAAAGTCGAAAAGGCGGGAGCACTGGACTGATCCTTGTACCCCAGCAGTGCTACCCTCTGGAAGGGGTGGTCGTGAAGCTGACTAATGGAGCTGGGTGGGGCCCACACAAGAACGGTATTCCCGCACAGCAGCAGCCTATGACGTGGTGGGTCACCGTGGGGGAGAGCCTTTTCATGCTGCTGCTGGTGAAGCTGCTTCAGATGTAGTCCCGATCATCCAACGCTAATTGGAGCCACCGTTGTGTGATGTAAGCCGACAATGGAGGCGACAAGTGTCACACATTCTGCGCATAAATCACATTGGCAACTGTTTTTCCCCGCCTCTGATGGGCTTAGCTGATTCTAATTAAATTGTTCAAAATGTTTCCAGTGGCGCTGGAAAATCGCTGACAAATGTTTCCGTCAAAACACAAAAATCACCTATTTTCTTTTTTTTAGTCCAGACACAGTGGTGCGAGCACTGCCCAAAAGGCCAACAATATTTTATAAAAATTATGTTTAGAAGCTTAACCCATGTAGCTTTTATTTAGCCCCAGAGTAGCACGGTTTGGCAGTTCCAACCCCCACAGCACAGTTCAATTCCATGCTAAATTAAACCTTGCCTTAAAAGAATCCACTCCGGCCACAAAATAATTTAAAACGAATTAAAAGCGCGCCCGTTTGAAACCTCCCGACTGCCGAACTCCACCGGACCGAAGGCATCCAATTGAAAATAGCAACAAGTTAATTTGGGCAGGGGTGGCCCCACCCCGGCTGCCGCAGTGCCTCAGGGCTCCTTTTTTGAAAAGTCATTAGAAAAAATGTCTAGTCGCTCCGAGCAATTTAAATATTACGACTACATCGATGGCACTGTACGAGCTGCGACTCCGCTGGTTAATTTAAGGTGATAATTGCTTTTTAATGTGACACAACTAAATTTTTCCTATTTACATACGTAGCTGATTGTTGTTGTTCCGGAAGTTTTTTTGGGACTGCGCATGTGCAGCCAAGAGGGTCGGGGCCAGGAGGGCCAGAGGGGAGAGTGCTGTGCAGACACTTGTTACGTTGTTGCCACAACGGGTGCCGCCACTACAATAATAAAAAGTCAAC